TCCAAATTCTTCCGCACGCTCTTCTGAAGTCCGAAACTCTTGCCGGCAGAGTTACCAGTCGATTTTATCTCCTCCGCATTGGTCACAGGGTCGTTGTCGCTGTCTTTGCCTCCGCCAACGCGCCACGCCGAGATGGCTGGTGGTGTCAAGGTATACCCGCTCACCTTGCCCTCGGCCGTCCGCCACGCGATTTCGAGATCGATGGGTGCGGCGAGACCGAGATACCCACCGTTGTGGTATAGCATCCGCATGGCGCCACGGTGAGAAAGCGAGTAGCCCTGCAGACAGAGCGGCTTGTAGGTCGGGGATGTAATACGCATCTGATCCATCTGGGTCATATTCCAGACCTGGGTGATTTCCTTCTTAAAGGTATCGAGGTTGTCTTCAAGCTTGGGGCCGTTGGGATCGAAGTAGGTCTGGTGCATATCCAAGCGTTCCATGTTCGGCTTGTTCGCACACTGGCCCATGAAGAGCTCGTCCCAATCGCATCCTGGGCTCTGTTCAGTATCTTGAGCTCGATTGGCTCCGAATGGAAGGCTTACCGTATGGGCACTCCTCGCCCCACCCCTTTTTCACGTCCTGGCCCCACCGAATCGTGTTGTTGTACTTCAGCTGCCAGTTCCAGAGGCCCATGACCTCGCGAATATTCATGTCCCAATCCACGTCGTCCTCGAGGATCAATGCGGAGCCCAGGTTGTTGTCGATGACATAGCGCCAAGCGTTCGCATGTGCCCTCCAACACCCCAGACGCGAGCCACGCATCGCTTCAGGGAGTCCATCGGGCTCAGCCTTATGAGAAATCGTATCGCCGTCGACCTAAAGTCGTAATTAGCGTCCAGTCAGACAAAAATAGGCGGGCAGCCAAGAGCTCCCTTACCCCTTCGATCATCGTTAACTTCAGGCCGGACGCGGCGGCCATAAGCGAGAGCGCATCCTGGCGGTCTGTACGGAAGGGCATCGAGATGTATAAGATGGCGCCAAAGTCGAGGGTAGAGTTTGCGAGGGTCGGTGGCGGCGGCGTGCCCATACTGCTACGCACTCGGTTTGGTAGGTGGCCGTTGTTGAAGAAAAACAGCACGTAGAGGAGGAACAACACAGCGCCAAAGCTGCCGGCGGCCTGCATCAGGCGTGCCGGGTTCGTGGTGCGGAGTAGCATGGTAGACGGAAGTAGTCGGCCGGGTACGAGTCGCACGGGGAAAGATGGGAGGGGGAGGGTTCTGCTTTGTAGAGCGCAGAAGTTGTACGTCTCGTGGGAGGTTTTTGGGCGCAGCGGCTGATGATAACAACATGCAGCCCTCACTATGTATCATTTCAGCTCACACCTGCAGTCGGGTGGCTGCGTGGCTGGCCGCGTTATCGCCCCTAGCTTCATCGCCATACATATTAAGGCACCGTCGTCCCGTCGTCCCACACCGTACCCGCAACCCCAAATTCGTCACTGTCAGCGAGCCTCTGTGGAATGTAGCACCTGCAGCCGGGAATCCCCTCCAGTTCCACCCTCCCGACCCAGAGTAAATCTCACAGCTGTCGTGCTAATTGCCTGCCTCCGTTCCTCATGCCTTCGTCCAGCATCTCTAACGCCGGCGCCACATTCGGCGATCTGGTGTCTTCCTTCGTAAGCCTTTATCAGCTAATTTAGCGCTCCCGCAGGAAGTCGCCCCTGTACGGTGCCGCTGGCTCGTATACAAACGTTGTTTTCAATTTCGAAACCTCAGCTAGCTGCATCCGGCGACGAATTTAAAGCATGTCCGTTCAACTCAGAACTTCGGCACCAAGTTTGGTAGTTGTGGTTCAAGCTGCGGCTCCGTGCTTGGTTTGGAGAGTCGCTTGACAAATTGACAGGCGTGGATTATCAGAGAGCGGCGATTGGCTAGAAGGAGACGTTGTCGACCTGGAAACGAGAGCGTTTCCCGACTGAGTGGGGTTGAATCTAGGGTTGTTCGGTGCAACGGGCCAAAGCATCTTAATTCGCGGAATAGAACATGCACTGTGGGGACCGGTGTCTGATCCGTGTTCTGTACAGTACAGTACCTAAAAAGACGATTTGTAGGATGAGTGAACAAGGACGTCTACGAAGCAGGAACAGTCGCTCAAGAAGGTCAATATGACCCAGACGTGTCGCTTGTTGAATTTCAGTTGCAAGCTCCACGGAAAGGTGCGATTCTCTTAGACATTCAAATCGAAGCCTTGTGTGAGACTCAATAGCAGGTCTTAGTGATCAACTTGATGCTCCATCTAAACATCGTCTGAGAACATCACTTTCTAGAATGTTTCCATACATGTCTACAAAGTATGCTGTGTCTCCGGCGTCAACGGCTTGTCTCCCGAAATTGACCTCATTATACTAGCTCCCGACTTCTCCAACGTATCCAGCGTATCTAGCGTATCCAGCGTATCCTCACGTCGGACACCTACCAGCAATACGATCCAACAGCACCGAAGAGGCAGTCAGAGCATGAAGTTCGGTCCTGGGCTATTTTAAGAAGATGACAGCTGATGGTTGCGGTCGATGCCGATGCCACCAGGGTGGCGCGATGGCGACTGGGGGAGCAGCAGCTGATGATGAATCAGCGCAGATCTGAATTGTTTACGGTTTTTACGATGGTGCAAGGCCCCTTTTTGTGTTGCATTACGTTCCACCCATTACCGGTAGCCAGTTCTTGGGAGTCGAGGCGAGACCCAGCACCAAGTGGGCAGCAAGGGATCTGGCCACTGTACCACGGAGCAGCCTATCCACGCTGCGATAACTGTCCTCCCATCAAGAGACGTCTCGCACCCTGAGCACACAGCACCTCCATCTCCATCTCCATCTCCATCTCCATCTCCTACAGTGAATGCTGAAATACATTTGCGCCTCTCCATCTACCTGCAACGACATTGCCACCCAACAATGACGGAAAATAAAATTGCTGACGGCATTGAGATGCGACAACGGCTAGGCCTGGAGATTGGCGGGCGGCGCGCAATGACAGGCCAGCCCAGCGCCCCCCATGCCCACGCCCCCTTCAGCTGGTCCCGACACTACTGCGCCATCGAGGGTAGACTGGCGTCGACGCATCTGCAAAAGGGTCTCAGTCCTCGTTGCACCCAGCTGAAGTCCTCTGCCCACCATACCGCAATACCGCAAACGTCCACTCCACGCCTCGAGACGGTGATGAATCGGTGACACCCACTGTCTCTACCACCTATACGAAGTACCCGCCCGCAGCCTCTCTCCGCGCGCTGATCCGCTTGCCAACCTCCCTACTGCCTCAGTGCACTCCCCGTAAACAATGCTGGGCTCCAGGTATTTACCCTCCCGCAACACTCCATACCGCGACTGCGAACTCACAGTGTCTTTCGCGCAGGTTAATTCTCGGTGTGCTCACCGCCGCCTTTCTCCTCCTCGTCGTGAAGATCTATTCCGACTCTTCCTTCGGTCACCTCTCCTATTCTGACCTCCAAATATCGCCCGCCAACCCCAAATCACCCGACAAGGCACAACCGTCAGCATCAGCACCAGCATCGCCCAAGGCATCACAGACAACAGATAAGCCGGTGGACAAGAAGCCAGACGAGAAAAAGCCAGAAGAAAAGAAGCCCGAGGAGAAGAAACCAGAGGAGAAGAAACCAGAGGAAGAGAAGAAACCCGAGAAGCCCCACGGCGATCGAGAAAAGGAAGAAGCGTGGTCCGGCGAACCCGGCTACTTCAAGAACAAGAAAGAATGGAATTTCGACGCGCCCCTCGAACCCTCTGACGAAACCTTCAAGCCTGAGGAAATCCTTATCTTGACCGCTAGCAATGGCGGTGGACACAATGCAGCCATTCCGAACCTACTAGAACGCATATGCGAGGAGCGCGATAGCTACGCCAAACTTCATAACTACACCCACACCTGGCTCAACACGGATAAGTACGACGTGGGAGACGCGCACCCGGTAAGCTTCGTGACGCCGCTAGCAACATTGTCCTACGTTCCTAACTAATCCCGCACCTCAGGTCTGGGCCAAAATTCCCGCCATTGCCGACGCTTTCTACCAGAACCCCCAGGCCAAGTGGCTCTGGATCGCCGATTCCGACATCATCTTCATGACGCACTCCGTCAAGCTCGAGGAGATGCTCCTAAGCCAAAAGGCCATGTCCGAGAAAATCATGAAGGGCCAGACCCTTTTCAACGGCATGAAAGACGGCAAAAGCCACAAGACGAAGATCACTATGCCCGAAGAACCCAAAATCTCCAACCTCGATATTCTCATCACCCAAGACCACAACGGCATAAACGCTGGCAGCATTTTCATCCGCCGCAGCCAGTTCACGCGCTTTATCCTTGAAGCCTGGACCGACAAGTTGCTTATGGAAGACCACTGGTTGGGCAAGGAACAGGACGCCCTGAAGCATTTGATGCTCGAACACCCACTCATCCGCTCCCACGTGGGTGTCTTCCCGCAGCGCATGTTCAACGCCTACGCCGTCGGTGGCGATAAGATGGGCTGGCGAGAGGGCGACCTCATGGTACACTTGGCTGGCTGCTGGGTCGGCGGTGATCATATCTGCAAAGAGCGATTCGACGAGTTCTGGGCTAAGCGGAAACTGGAGTAAGCGCTTGACGTAACGGAACGCAACAAATGCATGCATGGTTAAAAGGGCGTTTTGGCATATCTGGGTTCGGGTTTGATGTTTGGTTTTTGAGTCAAGCGTGACTCCGAAGACGCATTTCCTACCTCATTCTCTTTCTGCTTATTTGGTTGTATTATGTGCACGGCTTGGATAGACAGCTAGTGTTTTGGAGCGCGCATGATGTTGGAATTGCGCAAGCAAGCGGCTTTTTGGTTGATGTCTATTTTGCTATTAATATTGGATTGAAAACATCACGAGCATCGCTCGATTTCAAAGTTACGACATCTCCTGTCCTCAGCGTGTCTACACGCATTTATCTTCTCTCTGCGAATCATTCATGCTATTCTCGTCTTCCTACTTTTATTTATCAGCTACTCAATCTCGGCATCATCCAATAATCAAAGCCGGTGTGGTTTAGTAGGCTATAATGTGGTGGACGACCGATCTCGGGCTTATGGCCTGGGCGGCACCATCGAGACCCAAGTTCGATTCTTGGCGCCGGCCTCATCTTTTTGCTTCTGCTTTCGAAATGTCATTGGCTGCACTGCAAATCAATCGGACAAGCTGAGTCCCACGAGCTAGTCAGAATCCATAGAGAGCAAGGTGATGCGAGACCAGTGTTAAATCATCGCGTTCAACCGCAGAAGGTAAGGAGGGATATCGACGTGTGAGCTGTTGTTGCGAAGGTAATATGTGTGTTGTTGAGCTTTAGAGCGTACCTAGGTACTACTTTTACACAGTAGACCCCTTTCGCGGCTCCGCATTCCTGTCAAGGGCTAGCTTTGTTCCCTCAACACTATCATCCCACTCCTAGTCTTCGCTTCTTCACAGACTACTAGCCTCCGCTTTTCTCAGCGCTCTGTATTCATCGAACTTGGGGAAAACGAATATCTCGATGGCCCATTCGTCGCGGAAAGAGTACTGATCCTTGTACAGTACATGAAGATCCTAGCACTCGGACCGAGCGGCATTTATTTCGTCTCTAGAACAAGGGATTACAACATGGCGTGCATGGTTACGTCTTCTGCCGCGAACCTACCCCGCAATTGCTGGCCTGTCCAACAACCAACGTGTTTGCTGCAGCCACCCGGGAGTCCCGCATCGTGGCCCTGCCACTCTTTGTCTCCATTTGCGGGGAAGACCATAGGATTGCCGCATTTACGGAGGCAGTGCGTAAGATTCATCGATCACGGGAACTCTACTAAACGATTTTAAATCAGACTTAAGTAGGACAACCCGTAGCTCCTGTGGCACCACATACTAGTTGATGTGTTTGCTTCGACGGCATAATTGGACGTATAAGTATCGTATACCTCCTAAGTAGGAGTACGGACTGAGCCATTACCGCTTCTTAACTCCCACCACCATTAAGATGTACGACATCCAAAGAGGTGTAGCTTACGCCGTCTTGGGGGCGGTTTGCCTGTTTACCAATACAGCGTCAGCATTCCCGCGTACCAATGGCGACGCTTTCCAAGCTTTCAAGCGCCAGGCCGGGCAAAATGCCACGAACCCGCTTCGTGTAGACCTGGGATACGAGGTCTACGAAGGCGTATCTAATAGCACGACAGGATTGAACACATTCAAAGGGTTGGATTTTCTCTATAGCTTCCAACTGCAACTGAGAAGCCAAACTTACAATTTCTAAGCATTCGCTATGCCGCTCCTCCAATTGGCTCACTGCGATGGCAACCTCCACAGGTGCCTACATACAACCGCAGTTCTACGATCTCGGCTGCGTCACTCCCGCCGGCCTGTCCGCAAAACCCAGACTCTTTTGGCCAGACTTCAAGAAAGCCGAGCCCATTCGTACTTGGATCAGAGGATTGTCTATTCGTGAGCGTATATAGCCCTTCAAACGCCTCGAATATGCCTGTTCTTGTATGGATACATGGCGGAGGATATGGTGCGGGATCTGGATCTCAAGACCTTTCGGCCATCATCAATGCCAATTCGAACGGCTTTGTGGGTGTAGCTATCCAATATCGAGTGCGTACAATTCGTCTCTTACCCTCATTACCAATTCTGTCTGTCTGATTGCCCGTCCAGCTGGGAGTGTTTGGTTTCCTCTCCTCCGATGAAGTCTTCCGCAATGGCGCCGTAAATGCCGGGATCTTGGACCAGCATTTCGCATTACAATGGGTCCAAGAATATATCGCGCTATTCGGAGGTAATTCATCGCAGGTGACAATTTCCGGCGAAAGTGCTGGAGGCGGCTCCGTGATGCTTCAAACGATGGCATATGGAGGCACACTAGGGACATCACTGTTCACAAATGTAAGCTAATCTATCCTTCTCGAGGTTCCAAAGTTGAGAATGCTCGCGACTCACATATCGTATTCCAGTCTATCGCAGCCTCACCATACTTGCCGATGCAATACGGCTACCGGGACTGGGTTCCGTCCCAGTCCTATTATGCCTTCGCCATCGCATCCGGATGTTCCCCAATGACAGCCTACGGCAGCTCCTCGCAAACTATCTTCGACTGCCTAGTCTCCAAAGATACCGAAACACTCCAACGCGCTAGCTACAATATCTCTAGTTCCGGCACGTATGGCACCTGGGGGTTCCTCCCCGTTACCGACGGCGTCTTCATCCAGCAACTCCCCAGCATACAGCTCCAGTCCAAGAAAGTAAACGGACTGAACATCCTCTCCGGGGTGTGTATTACCCACTACCCCAACTAACAGAAGCCTCTTACGCAGTAGCTCTAACACGTGACTAGAACAACGCAGAAGAGGGCGCACCCTTCACGACTCCCAATATTACTACCGAAGCCGACCTCGTAGCCTGGTTGACCTTAACCTTCCCTCTTTTCTCCCCTGACGACATCGACAAGATCCTGCTCTACTACCCTAGCAGCGATGCCTCTGACACGTCCGGCATGCCCGAGTACGCGACCTCCGGGATCGCGAGCGGAACAGGCGCCACAGCTGTCAACGTTTCACAGGTAGCGGCGGGACAGCAACAGCGAGCTGACGTACGTAACTTTTCCTTAAAGCACTCGCAGTCCCACCGTGCCCCCGGTAAATGGTTTCCTAACACAAAACTTGACGACATTGCAGAACATCTACGCCGAAACCACGTTCGTCTGCCCCAGCTACTGGCTCGCCACCGCCTTCACCCCCTCGCGCGCCTCCCCCTCCGCAAAAAGCTGGAAATACCAATACTCGGTCCCAAACGCCTACCACGGCGCCGACGTGACCTCCTACTTCGGCCCCGCACATCCAAACCAAGGCCCTTCCCTCCTCGCCGCCGTGCAACACATCTGGGGCGCGTTCATCACGACGAACAACCCGTCCATCCCGGCTAGTATCGCGAACAGCATGGGTGAGGTGGTTGGAGATGGGGAGACGGTGTTTAATGGGACGTGGCCGACTTTCTCTACGAAATTGCCGTGGTTGCTGAATATGAATCAGACCGGGGGGGAGGCGTTTAGCACGAATGTGGGGACGCCGAATATGGAGAATGTGACGGAGTTCCAAGGGCCGGGGTTGCGGAATGCGTTTGGCTTGGCGAATGGGTATACGTGGGAGGGGGGCAGGGGGGTGAGGTGCGATTTTTGGAGGGCGATGGGGGGGAGTGTGCCGGAGTAGGGGACGAGGGGGTTGGGGGATAGAGGAAATGGGTAGGAGGGGGGTGAGTAGTGATATAAAAGTGATTTTTTGGTAAGCGAGGGGGTGGATGGGGATTTGGTACTCAAGCTGGTAAAACGTTCGAAGCTGATAAGCGGCGGTATGTTGATAGCTGGCTACCGCAGCGACGTGTCAGCTAGATTAATCTAGTTTTGATCTTTTGACCGAAGTCTCCATGCCTTTTCTTGCTAGCTCGTGGATACTCAAAAACCTTATGGGCCAATCAACTTCATCCACTAACCAGAATCTTAGACTAAGATGGGTGACGAACAAAGGCGCCGGACAGCAAAGTTCAAGGAGATGCGAGGTAGGTTGTTATTCAACTGTAAGTTGATTGGCCGAGTTCTTGAAACCGAACCAGAGGTGTCAGCTCATCTAATCAATCTGGGCCCAATGGTTAATGTAATCTAATCACGCTCCAACTAGCGCTAATGTGACCTATTATGAACTCAAATACAGTATGCGATCTATTTCAAGCCCTGGAATCATCAAAATACGCGGACAAAAGCGGCGGAAGTCCACCGGAAGTAAAAGCTATCGGCCATCTTCGGCTCCGGGGCGGGTCATAAATATAACCGAATGAACAGATTTCAGCATCGTTCCCTTATATCTAATACCTGGTTGGCTAGGGTTTGGGGGTTCGGAGGGTCTGAAACCCGTTGGAATCCCACATAAACCTTTGACCCCAGCAACGATCCAACAAGGCCTCCAACGCACTAACGGATAATCATGCAATGGTAACACCAGAAGGCTTGATTTCCCCCTCGGAATTTCCTACATAAAGACGGCGGTGCGACTCTTCAAGCAAGCACTAGCGACCTAGCAATCTCGTATACTGCCATAGTCACGTGAACTTCCAGAACTGTCTTCAAGCATTTAGCATCAATCGGTCAACATCCGGATAAAGATACCGTCATCCACGCCCTTAGTTTTGTTTGGCAGTTTATCCGCCGCATCTCTTCCTCTAGCTCAAAAACCCTCGGCTGTCATGTCGACAACTCCACGAATTGCTCCAGGCGGCCTTGTCCTAGTCACAGGTACTTGACTCGATAAAACTATAATCCGTTATTCAGTGGCCGACTAATGTTTCGAAAGGGGCAAGCGGCTATATAGGAAGTCACGTTGTCGATCAGCTCCTCAAGAAAGGCTATCGAGTACGTGGCACAGTTCGAGACGCCACAGCACAAGCATGGATGACCACCCATTTCGGCGACAATTTTAGCCTCGTCCAGGTGCAGGACCTCTCTGCCCCGAATGCCTTGGATGAAGCTGTAAAGGGCGTTGATGGGATTGCCCACGTAGCTTCCGACGTCCACATCAGCGCCGACGCCGAGAACTGGATCCCACCAATCGTCCAAGCAGCCATAAATGTCCTTGAAGCGGCTGCCAAAGAACCTAGTGTCAAGAGCGTGGTATATTGCTCTTCTAACGCGGCGATGCACCGGCTCCAAACAAACACCCCATATGAACTCACCAGTGATAGCTGGAATGACGAGGCAGTTGAGATGGCCTACAAGAAAGACGGAGTTGCTGATATCGAGAGAATGGTCGATGTATACTCTGCCTCAAAGGTTTTGGCCGAAAGGGCCTCTTGGGAGTGGGTCAAGAAAAATCAGCCACAGTTCGTCTTCAACACCATCATCCCCAATGTCAACTTCGGAGGCGTGGTATCGCTCAAGCATCAGGGCTTCCGTTCATCTGCCGGCTTAGTGAAGGCAATTTGGTATGGACAGACTATTGGGATGGCTTTGATCAAGCCGCAGTGGTGCTTGGATGTCGAAGACGACGCTCTGCTTCATATAGCTGCTCTCGTCCTTCCTGGCGTCAAGAACGAGCGCGTTATCGCAATGGCTTACCGGTTTGACTGGA